AGGCTGGCCTTGAACTTGCAGAGATCCTCTTGACTCAGCCTCCTCCAGTGCTAGAAATACAGGCGTGTGCCACCATGCCTGCTCTCCCACACACATTTTAAAAATGTAAAAAATACAGGCCAGGGATTTAGCTCAGTGGTTCTGCCACCAGACTCGCAAGCACAAGGAACCAAGTTCGACCCCTGGTACCAAAAAAAAAAGTAAAAAATACTATTCTCAGTCATTCATAAAAAGTTAACAGAGGTTTAAAAAAATAACCTCAGGGAGCTGCATGTAATTACAGTTTCATTCTCATGGTAGTACAATTTTTTTTTTTTTTTTTTTTTTTTTTTTAGTTCTCACTGTGTAATTCAGGCTGGTCTTGAACCAGGTAGCCCAGGCTGGCCTCTAACTTGGGGCTGTTCTCCTGTCTCAACCTTTCAAGTTCTGGGATTACAGGTATTACAACACACTTGATTAGTGGTACATTTTTAAATTGTATGAATAAACAAATTATGTTCATTAAAAAAAAAGCTGAAATGACATCAGGGAAACAAATGACAAAACAGTAATGCTTAGAAATATTAAGAACAAAACTAACATCTTAAACCAGTAGTGATTAAGGGTGTATTTTGAAAAACATAGCAGGAGGTTATCCATTAATCCCGTAAGACATCTAAGTGGAAATTTCTTTTAAATTCAACACTGAAAAATGTATTATTTTAGAATTTTAGATAGATGCTAAGTTAATCTACACAAAATTCTATGGCCACAAAAATCAAGATGAGTTTTTAAAAATCATTCTTCTACAATAAATTAATTTTATGAATCATGTCTAAAATAGACCTAATCTCACACAATTCTGACTACTTACAATAAAGTGTGATGCAGAAACACAGTATCATAATAGAGCAATAAAAAATGTGTAACATCAATGACCCTAGAGCCAAGAGTGCAGCAATATGTTTTCATGCTGGAGAACACTTTTCAACTCTGGTTTTGGTCAACATTTTTCTGCATGTCTTAGATAGGGTGTACTGATGAAGAAGAGGAAGCTGTCTTTCAACAAAAAAGATGCTTTGCTGTTACACACACCACTGTATTTTAGCTAAAGTAAGAGATGTGAAGACAGAAGTAGTACAGGTACAAAAGTACAAATTATTTGCCAAGATTTACATAGCAAGTCAGAGGCAGAAATGGGTTCATCTTTTTCTTTAGATTCTTGACCCTCCTTGTCATCAAAGGACAGATTATTCTCAAAAGTATCTTTCAGAGTCTTAAAACAAATTAAGAATAGTCAGGCACACTGGAAAAGACAAACAAAGTGCTTCCTACCATACATTGCATGCGTCTGCTCATGAGCCCCGTACTGAGTTGCTGAAGAAGACACTAACGCAGGCTGGGCATGTGCAGGCGGTGCCATCATTCTAGCATTACCCTGTATCACAGGACTGTAGACATGAGGGTGCTGTGTTCAAACAAAAAATAAAGGAACAATGTTAAAACACCAAAAAGAGCCAAACAGATTTTAGTTAGATTTTTAACTCTGTGGTCTCCAGAAACAACAATTCTAAAACTTTGCTTGGCGGCTTCCTTTGACACTCTTACACTGATGAATAAACCTGAAACATGTATTTAAAAGGCTTCAAAGTCCTTAGTTATGTAACCCCCCATTAATACAAAGCAAAAAATGTAAAAGAAAATCCCTTGATTACATTAAAAGTTCTTAAAATGGAGTAAAAATTACAAAGCCATCTGAGCCTTACTTGAGACTGATAATGTGGCACATGTTGAACTAGTGGCTGATTTGGGAACTGCTGAGGACTGTAGGCCACATACTGAGTGGAGTACGCTGGCGGGGTGGCTACGATGGGCGGGCCTGCTGCTGAGGCTGGGTGCATCATGGTGCTCTGATGATGCTGGTCTTGCCGTTGCTGAGGCATATTTGGTACTGCAGGGGAAGAGAGAGACTTACATAGAACAGCACCTCCTTCATATCATATGTTAATGTAGTATATACACTCACATGGTACAAGGCTCTGCCTGCATGGTTTGACTCTCCTTGCCTGCCTTTCCAACACCATCCCATTTTATGCCTATTTTATTTTGTCTTAGTAGTACTTGGGATTGCACTCAAGTCCTCACACTGAGCTATATCCCTAGCCCCTTTTTTAAAATTTTGAGATAAGATCTTGCTAAATTGCCTGAGCTGGAGTTGACCTTGCCATCTTCCTGCCTTAGCCTTTCAGAGAGCTAGTTTACATGTGTGCCCTACAGTGAGATCTTATGCTACTCCTGCCATCACTTCAGATACCATGGGCTATTTTCCTATCACATGTGCTTGCCTCATCCTTAGATACCAGTTCCCAACTCAAAGTTGGAAAGATTGTGACTACTTGTGATACTCAGGTGTCAGCTTGAAAACATGTTCTCGGGGAGAGCCTTTATGATAAACCTCAGACACCCACAGCACTATCAATAACTTCTGCTTTTCTGATGATCCATTTACTTTTTATCTCTACCACAAGATCCTGAGGGTTGACAGACCTTTGATATAAATTATGCCATTGCCAAGGAAGAGGACTGGGTTCAACTGAGAGAGAAAAAAGACATGATAAAAGCCAAACAGATCCAACACCAAATACTGAATCTTCAACATCTCCCTCCTCAAACCCAGTATCACACAGCACCATGTAGCAACTGGCAGGTCCATAAATGACAGCTCTTTTAAAACTTTATGACTTGCATCATTCCACACTTTTTCCCCTCCCTGTTAAAAGATCTAGTTATGACCTTAGCTACCACTGTGTATTTGTTTGCCAATTCTATTTCTTCATCTGAGAAATGTCTATTCATTTCAGATGCCCATTTCTGCATTGGGCCTTTAAATTTTTGGGGGGGGGGTTCTGTCTTTTTGGTTGTTTTTTTTTTTTTTTTTTTTTTTTTTTTTTTTTTTTTTTC